GCAACTTTGCTTGTGAGACTCTAAGAGTTGTGAAAGATGCAACATGTTTGCAGCGACATTCAGCGCCTCGCACAAACGCAGCTCATCGATTATTCGTTTGGAGATGACTGCAACAGGTTTAGTGAAGGTTTATTAATATCATAACTATGTCGTTATGATGTGTTTGAAGCCCAGGAACGTAAACATAAAGAAAACCTTTCCTTCACTATTTAAACTGGTTTTAAATGTTTTCAGGAAAGTAGATTTATGATTTGCATGACAGTATTGTAGTATCACAAACACAATAATGTGATTATCTCTGAATGCAGTAAAGACACTGACACAGTAACCAGCTCTGTTTCTAATTCATTGATTTTCTGTTTTACTGTTTTTCCTCCGTCTCATGTTTTGTGTTCACCACAGAGTCCTGCTCTGTGACGCTCTCCTCCTCCCAGAAACTTTTTAAAGTCATGCTTCACATTTCTAACCTCCTTTCTTCATTTTAGACCCTGTGCTTCCCCTTTTATTCCTCAAGTCATTTGCTGCGCGGTGCCTCGGCCTGCTCGGCCCGCGCTGCGCTGCCAGGAAATGAAGACGACGACGAATGGAACACGGAAGTGGTCAAACTTTTTGATCACACAACGCCGTCTTGCTGCTGCTAAAGCAGGCGGCCTGTTAAACAGGGCCCAGCTTCTCTCGCCCAGTTTACGCAGAAGACGCGTGAACTTTGGTATTTACTACTGAGCTGACACACGCGTGGAGTAATTCTTTAAAAGTAGCGAAAAAAGCAGGAAAATATAGAAAAAGATGAAGAAGTCGAGCCGAGTTTTAAACTAGTTTTAAATGCGTTTAATATTAAAATACAATCATACATTGAGAGACATCTTTTTGAGAGATGTCTTTGAACTTTTTAAGAGACTTTCATCTCAAAGAGACATGAGATTAATAACGGCACAATCAAATTTAACTTTATTGATTAAAAACGTGGCTGTTTAGCGGTGTTCCTAACATTTTGTCTGTAACGATTACACGTATAGCTCGCTAAAGATAAATAATAAAGGATAAAATCAAATGTTATTAAAGTGAATTCAGATTCTTTAAACGTAATTAAGTTCACGTAACGAAATAAAAGTATATCAGTATTTATTAAAGTAAATATTTAAACACAGTTCACAGTGTTACGATGAACTGATACAATTTAATGTAAAAATCTGTTAAACTGTAAAAACAACGTTAGTTTAATAATAATAACAGTGAGCTTTACGGGGAGTTAGAATAATAATATTTCAACATGAGATTTACTGGATGCACAATAAGTAAAATGAGATACATCACTAAAGAGAAAATGTAGAAATTTTATTTTGTTTTTGTTTTTATGTATTTAATTTTTTAAAATAACGGTTGATCAGTTCAGATCCACATTAATATGATTGAAAGGAAAACAACAATCATGTTTTGGGTGAGATGATGACACACCTTCACACTGGCTGAGAAATGTTAGAAACAAACGAGCCAGACTGAGCGCAAAGACAATAAATGACAGATTTTATTTCAGCTCATCAGCTCAGACTGGCTGAAAACAGCTGAGTTATAGATGAATTATGAGTGATGATGGAGGCAGTGAGGTCAGTGTAACTCAGCGTGCACACGCACACACGTGCACGCACACACGTGCACGCACACAC